GGGGGATTCCTGCAATGTTAAATGTGATCTGTACATATGGGTTTTGAAAATAACGCTGACTTTGACACAGTGATGTGCAGTTAAGACTTACGTTTGTGTTACATATGCACAGAACATTGACTAAGAAGTGTTGAGGAACCTCTGTGGTTATTGTTGCAAACAGAAGATGTGTTGTACTTCTTTTTCTTTTTGTGAGATCTCAGCGGTTTCCTGTGTAGTAGTCCATCATCAGCGTTCTCGTTAAGTAATTTCACTAGCTGGGCTGTGATGGCTGCACTTACAGCCACACAGTGGTAATACCCACCATGTTAGTGTAGAGGCTTATAAGTAACATTGCATTCACATTTGTCTTTCTTTAAATATAGGAATTTATTTACAGGACAATAAATAACTGGTTTTGGTTTAGAGTTAATTCACATATCCACATAACACTGCATTCTAAAATAAGTGCGCACATTTTAGTTTACACTGTTATGTATGATTCATTTTTTGTTTTCTGAGTTACCTTAGTTGCAGCTGTTCCAGTCCCTTGTTTAAGGAGCCAAGAGGTGGAAAAGGGCGGAGCGAGCTTTAAAGGAAGACTACAAATTGGTTCATGCCATAACTCGGGGGGTGGGGGATTGGAGTTCATTATGTTTGGTTGGTTTAGTTAGGTTTTGTGTGTTTTACCCCTTCTCCTGTTTTTGTGGGCTGATCAGCCACTATTTAAGTTTCCCCTTTGTCTCATTAAGTTAGGTCAGTTTGTTTGAGTTGTCAACTTTGAGTAGCGTTCTGTTATTTTGACCTCTTTCATGGGCCCAAGATTTTGATTCTTTTTGCATGATTCGCCAGGCCTCGAAGGGGACTGGCGACGGCTCCTGGGCCTGGCAGATCCCCGTGTACTAAATAGGAGTGAAGAAGTTAAAGAACTGAGAACAAGGAGGGAGGGTGGAGGGTGGGGCACGTAAACAACAACGAGCAGTTTGCAGAACTGGGGGGAACCAATATAGATGACAGCCGGAAGGAGCATGTTTGGAGGCGTGATCCTGCTCCTGAAATTCCGATACATAATCTCCGATCAAAAAGATCCTGATGTACACTGACCCTTCAGGGAACAACTGGACACAAACACTGACAGCAAAATGTGCAATGAAGCAATCAAAGTAACTGATAACTATTTTTTTCACCACTTGTACACAGTTACTGAAATGAACACAATATGGTAACTTTCCATTAAATCTTCCAGTTTTAGTAACTGTAAGCTGTCGACAAAGCTTTCACAGCTGTTTCCAGTTGCTGAAGGTGATTCTTGGGTATTGAGGGTGTAGTA